TTTGTCTACGTTTTTTATATGTTTATTAAACGTATTATTTCCGTATACTTTCCTTATACTAATTATTTATAGGGAATAATATTTTTACAATATAAATTTTATAAAATCAGTTAAAAATATGAAGAAAATCAGCTAATATTTTAGTATAAGATTGAATATGAAAATGTAATTTTAGAATTTAGATTCTTTTTAATATTATGACAACTTTAAGAATTTTGGTTTTAAAATATTATATATACAGTCAAACCTCTATATAACGATATGTCAGGACATATAGAAATTTTTTTTAAAAATATTGTTATATCAAATTATACTGATATTTATATGACCTCAAGTATAGTAGGTAAATAAAATTTTATCGGTATATAAAGTTTTTAATAGTATATCAGTATATAGAATATCGGTATATAGAGGTCCGATTGTATAATAAAATACTCTTTTAGACTTGTCTGACATTAATTCAGATATACAAATTTTTATGAAATCTTTTTTGAACTTCAAATAAAATATCAGATCCAGAAAACCTATTACAAATTCTATATAGAATTTAAGATTAAAATCAGATTAGATCCAATTTTTGCTATCTAAATATTTTGGTATCAAATTTAATATAAAATTATTTTATTAGATGCTAAGATTAAAACTATCTATTATACTGTAACTTTTCTAATCCAATTTTAATCTTATCTAATATATCATAAAATATATGTTATGTTACTTGTCTTAGAAATAAGCATAGAGCATTAAGGACTAAGTATCTGAGTATACTTTATGCGAGACTTTACAAATTTAATAAATATATTATATTTTATAATATCTTATAATTAATTCTATAATTAATTTATTAATAAAAACAAAGATAATTTTTAATATGACTTAGAAATTAAGTTATATGAAAATTGGATAATATAATTGAACTTTATAATTAAACCTTTATTCTAGTTAAATAACTAATTTTGATTATATAAGAAAGTATTTTAGAATTGTTTTATTTAAAAAAATTAAAATTACAAAAAATTTATATAATTCAAAAATTATATGAAATTTTGCCTAGTATTTCTTAAATTAGATTGATTTATTACATATTCAAAAAAAATTCAGTATACTAGAATAAGTTCTTAAGCTAATTTAATTAGGATCAATAAATCATATAAAAATTTTTATATCAAAAAGTCATACAAAAATTACCAAGTATTTCTAACTTTTTAAGGCCTTATTCTGAAATTTATTAATATATTGAATCACATAATAACCTTTAATATATAATAGATACTATTCAAAAGTTGATTCAATTAATCTATCACATTCACTATATAAAATATAAACTTTAGCCTTTCAATAAAAATGACATTCTTTAAAATACATGTAAGATTTTTCATAAACTTTACCAATATTAAGTAAGTATATACAAGAATATTCTCTGATCATTTTGAAAATAGAAAAAAATAAATAATTAAAGATATTAAAGAAAAAAGTTTGTAAAAGTAATATATTCTTTTAAATATATACAATTACCAAGAAAAATAATTAATTAAAGAAAAAATTTGTAAAGATATTATATACATATTAGTATAACAAGAAGTAATTAAAAAAATTAAACTTGTAAATGATGTAATAAAAAATATATAAATCTAAATAAACTTTATGAATATCTGAATAGAAAGTTTAAATGTAAGTTAATTTCAGTATTCAATTTTATTCAATCACAAACTTCTATCCTCTAATATATCTAGACCTCTATCATTAACCAAAGCCCTATAATTTATATTCAAAGAAAGAATCAAAAAAAAAAATCATAGATAATTACCTTAGATCTAGTTTTAGAACCCGAATTATAAATAAATTATATACTGTAATAATTTACATTATAATACAATTGATCATATACATAAAGTTGTATTTTTTTAAAAATTATAAACTGCATCATTTTTATCATTATATATATTCCTTTAGGAAATATTTTTTTATTTCTAAAAATTATAATAACTTATTATATCCTAGCTATTAAGATTTCTAATCAAAAAAAGGAATAAAAGAAGGATTATATTACCAATTAGTAGGTTGAAAAGCAGATCAATTCAAATGTTCGAAAGTTAGATAAGTATTTTAAAATATAAAAAGTATGATTATTAAGAAAATGAAAGAAACTTGATTTAGAAGATTATAATAAATCAATAACTATAAATAAATGTAGGAAAAGTATTAGTAAAAAGCTATCTTTAGTTCTAATACAAGTGTATTTATCCAAAAGAAGTTTATCAGTACTGTATTAAATAAAGGAAAGGTATTGATAAAAAGCTATTTTTGCTCTATAAGTCGCATGTAACTTTCATAATATAATTATATTATGAAAATTACATGCGACTTATGTTAGGACATGAAGATAACTTCATAATCTGCTAGTAACTTCATAATATGATGGTAACTTCATAGTTTGTCAGTAACTTCGTAACATAATAGTAATTTCATAGTCTGTTGGTAACTTCATAATATAATGGTAATTTCATAATCTAATTTCATGATCTAGTAATGACTTCATAACCTATTATTTGTAATCTAATAGTAACTTCATAACCTACTTATGGGTAGCTTCTTTGCATTTATAACATTGTTTTAATCATTTCCTGTATAATATGGTGGTGATTTCATAGTTTAATGGTGGATGGTCTTGCTTTATATTAATGGTGATGTCATGATCTAATGGTTACTGCTTTCTTCTTATTTCTGGTTTGTTTACATATTAAATTCTACATTGTTAGTATTGGCTTTCCATCCTTGTTTGATTGTCTGGTTTCATGTTGAGGATACTGGCCTCTTACACCTAACTGAGTGCTAGATTACATATTAAGATACTTACCCTTTGTGCTATTCAGTTGCCTGTTAAAATACCAAATTGTGATAAAAAAAGAGGTGACAGGTGGCACAGTGAATTTGCAATTAGTTTTGGCTAACTCTATGGTATAACTCTAGCCGATCTTTTAGATATGTGATTTTAGGTTTCAGCTTGACAACACAATGGCGCCATGATAGTGTCATAGAACCGTTATGGAACTGTTGTTATCACAGGACATTCTTGGACAATATTTTAGATATAGTGTTAGACATTTAAATATATTGTTGGACAGTATTGAACATAGTGTTGGACATTCTTAAAATGTTTTGGACATAGAAAATGTATAACACTGTCTGAGAGGTTCCATTTATTCACCAGTTTCAGTCCACCTATATGCCAGCTTGGATGCTGAGTTATTACACTCAAAGTTCTGGCTAAAATTATAGAATAGTGTTGGCCAACATTAAGCGAATTTATACTGCGCTTTTTTTAATATAAGTATTGCGAGAAAATACATATATTGTTAGGAGAGTCATCTGATAGTGCTTCCAGAAAGCTCTGTGTTAAGTAATATTTTATATATATATTGTTAGAAGATATATATGCCAAATTTTTGTGAGCTGTCCCTCCTGTCTGTAGTAAAATTTTTCAGGGAAAACAGAAGGGAGGATGGGTTTATTATCTTTCTTGAGATTATTAGGCTATTTTATTTCTTTCTTGATTAGTATCCCTACTGTCCGTAGTAAAAAGTAGTAATTTCTAAAAAAAAAATTGTAATTTTCCTATAGTATATATATGATATATATGTATGATTTATATATGTATATGAGAGGTTTGCTAGGAAAATGGGGCTCTGAGCATATTTTATTAAAATTTTAATTTTTATTGCATTTTAATCTAACATTATCAAACATTAAAATGCAATAAAAATTAATATTTTAATAAAAATTACTCAGAGCTCCATTTTCCTAGCAAACCTCCTATATAGTATATATGTTTATCTATAGGTAAAAAAAATAAAAAAAAGATAAAAGTTTCGATTTTTACTACTTTGAGTAAAGTCAGAGGGAACGCATATCCTAGAAGGCTTCCCAGAAATCTAAAAGCGCTAAAACTGATAACATAGTTGTCCTTTCTGATGTCTATAGTGAAATTTTTCAGAGAGGACTTTAGGGAGAATAGGTTTGTTATCTTTTTAAGGCCAACACTCTATTGCATCAGGTATTTTTATCCTATCGAAAGTCTGTCTCATTGCCTCTGGAGTCTGATAGTTTTGAAACATCTTATTCAACTTTTTTCGATGATAATATGCGTTTGAATGGTACTTTTTTACGTGCTAATCACAAAATCCATATTCAGAAGCCGTCGGTCTTTCACACCCATCTTGTTTGCATAAAGGTCACTAGCTTCTTTTTTGGTGAATACAATACCCTTCTTGTTTCCTATTTTCCTGCTCACAAACCTTCCCTTTATTGAAACGATACTGGCAAATGTATTTACCACCCATTGTTATTATTCTTAGATAAATAACACTTTGATATCTATAATTATTTATTTTAATTTTAAATTTTTTTACTAGGGTATTATACTATTTTAGTATACTAGATAACATAACTAAAAATTTTTATCATGATCTAATCAGAGTTTCTCAACGTTCCTGCCCTTTTCATCCAGAGGCTGAAAAAGAAAAAGTTGGTCAAGTACTTCATTATTCCGGTAAGAATTACTTGATGAGCATCCCAACTTGTGATGAATTAGTTGTGAGAAATGATGAGAGTTCGACTTCAATTCTTGAGGATGAGATAGCAAATCATTGAGATATTCCATTCATGCCAGTCGACATAGAAGAATTTAAAGAATATATTAATTAAATTCCCCATTATATTCTTCGTCTCTATGGATATCTCATTAATGGTCAGAAAACAGTTGTCACCATTACTAGTATCAAGGTATTTTTTGATATTCGTATTCCTAATAATGCGAGCATTCCCAAATTCTGGTCCAAAGTAAAGAGTATACTTGCTACTGGAAAAGACAGTAGAGGGAGTACTATGAACATAAAAGGCATATCCTATTTGTGGTTATTATGCAGAAAAAAAGCCATATCTCTGTATTGTCACACTAAATAGAGACGAAAGGTTTACTGCTCTCAATATTATCTCAAGCTACAATTCAAAGGTTGATCCCAAATGTGAAATAAAGACAACTTCAGACAATACAGGAACATATTATCATAAAATTGCAAGAGAGCATTGGATATCATTTTCTGGGTGAGGATTAATAAGTGATTATAGATATAATTTCAGTGCACCTTATTATGTGAAATCCCATCACTGCTCACATGCATTTTATGCTCACATTGATAACTTTCGCCCCATAGACAATTTTGAACCACTTTACAAAATCTATTCATCTTCTCTCTTTACTCATGATCGAGCATTGGTTCTAACATGGAACATAGAAACATATGATTTACATAGATCAGGAAACTTCCCAGAAATGAAAAATGACACATCCCAAGTTTTTACGATCTGCATGACCCTACACTGGAAAGACGACCCAAAACCACTAAAACAAATATGTTTTGTTGATGTTGAGACAGCTCTGGACCCGCACGGGACAACAATTGTATGTAGGAATCAAACTAATTTATTAAAAGCTTTTGCTTTATGTTAGAAATCTTTTACCCTAGATATCCAGCTTGGTTTTAATGATTCAGGATATAATTGGCCTTTTATTGTGAAAAAAGCCACCAAATTAAAGATTCTTAAATGGATAGTTCAGCAAATATCAGCAAAACCACGTAAGAAAGCCAATGAAAATTTTATTCTTATTTGGAATTATTTTGGGAGGAAAGGAGAACCATTAATTTCTTCCAGAGGAATTCACAATGGATAAAAAAGACAGATAGGAGTTTACTAGATAAGGATCGTAAAAAAACAGGATGTTGAGAATCCATTAAAATCAAAATCCATCCTAGTTTAAGTATTGAATCTTACTTTCTTAAACTTCTTGGATATGTACCAATTGACGTTTGTGCAAGTTTTATGCAACTTCACCCCCGCTCTGAGAAAACATTACTCAAATTCTTCTTAGAAAAGTGGTCTCGATGGCAAAGCTGGTATGCATATGAGCAAATTATAGAAGTATTATTTGGAAGCAAGGGATGGGACTTCTGACTCTTCCAAAAAACATATGCATGAAATCGTAAATTATTATGTTATAGATGCTTTACGTTATTAGGAGCTCATGGTCAAATCTAATGTTATAAATGATTACAGAGAGGTAGCCTCAATTGCTCATATATCATTATTCGACTTACATTATTATACTATAGGAACAAAAGTATCTAATCTCTTAGGTGCTGAAGCTTGGACGTAGGATATTTTATACACTATGAAAATTTTCAATCAGAAAATATCTGGGAAGTTTCCAGGAACATATGTGTTCCTGCCAGAGAAAGGTCTTAAAAATAAACGTCCTGTCACAGGTTTAGACTTTGCTTTCTTATACCTTAGCATAATCATGACCTACAACCTCTCACCCGAAAAGATGGTCTCAACACTTTCAGAAGCAGATAAACTAAAGAGAGAGAATAAAGTGCTTTACAGTATCAAGTTCAAGTATGATGGTAAATCTATGCAAGCCTGGACCATACGGCATAGGAATAAATCCGATCAGAAAGGTTTATTTCCAAAAATATTGAAAAATTTGCTCAATATATGGAATGAACTAAAGGTTCAGCTAAAACCTCTTAGAAAGAAAAAGGAATATATGGGATTAGTTAAAAGTAGAATGGATGCCAGCAAATCTATATTAATAGCAAGTGCAATCGAAGATGTTTGTTTGCAAAGCGGATCTAAGAAGTATGCCAAAATAGCCGACATTATGAATCCTTTTATTGGTTTGTCATATGATGATTTTAGGAAAGAATATGATTCCATCTGCTTTGATTATAATTCTCTAAATTTGAAGCAGAAAGCCATTAAATTGTATATGAATTCATTCTATGGTATAATTAGCCAAAGTAACTTCCCGTTTTATATACTTAAACTCGCTAGAGGCGTTACTTCGGCTAGACGAGAAAATATCAAACTCGTTGCAGAGTTCATGAAAAAAAAGGTTTGGGATAAAATATGGTGATACTGATTCTCTATATATCACTTGCCCAGATTTCTATTATGAAAATACAATCTATCTTATGATATTGAAAAAGGTGTAATCTCAAAACAAAAGTACTGGACTGAAATGGTTAAAATTACTATGGGAATAATGGAAAAATTGTGTAACGAAGTAAATAACTTTCTTAGGTTAAAAATCAGATCAGATTATCTCAAAATAGTTTATAAAGAAGTACTATTTCCGGTAGTATCCACTAGGAAGAAAAAGTATTTTAGCATCTCCCATGAAGATATCCTGAACTTCAAACCTAAAGAGTTTTTTATAAGAGGAATCGACACTTTAAATAGGATAAATTCCAAGTTTTCAAACCATAGGGATCGGATTATGTGGGGAGTTATGGATATTAACAATGACCGATCACTCCATGATATTGCTGAAGACGTTCTCAGGGATGCTTTAGTTTATACTAAGCAATGGAATTTCGAACAATTTATAAAGACCGATGCATGAAACCTAGATAAAGACAATAAAGCCGTTCAGTGATTTATAGGACGAATAAGGGGAGAACATAAGAGTAAAATTCTGACGTCAGGTGAGTACTTTAGTTATGTAGTAATCCATCCTGATATAACCTTTGATTTACATGGTAAAAAATTGACGCTAACGAAAGGCGAAAGAATAAAATTCGTTGATGTGACAAAGGAATTGGATAAGGAGTTAGATTTATATCATTATTTCGTAAAAACTATTATTAGCCTATGTGTCTGATTTATTATATATGATAAGAAGTACGAGCCAGCTCTCTCAGATAAGATAATACAAATCAAGGATTTGGATGAGAAATATAAACAAATAGATGATTATGCACAAAAAAAGGTCAAATCATGGCTTGAGGGTTTTGTGAAGAAGAATATCATAGTTAATGGTGTTACTTCTAAGATGATAGAATCCTGTGGAATTGTTTATAAGTGTGCTTACAGAAATACAGTTAAAAAAGCACAAGAAATGTTATATCAAAAGATAAGCGGTTTATACGAAATAATCTATGGTGAATGGCTTAACTATGAGATTTTCATGGAAAGTAATCCTATCGAGATATTATGAGGGAGATTCATGAAATGCGCTATAAAAATTACAAAAGATAAAAACCTCTCAGTAGATGATGAAATAAAGGAAAAAATATGCTCAGATTTTGCTCGATATCCTAGCGAGTTTGTAAAATGTATTGAAGAGTATAATTTATTCTTTCACAAATTAGTCTATCATATGTATTATAAAGAGCATATATCAATTCTAGAAGAAATCAGCCCAGTTTTATCCATGCAAAAAAATGAGATAATTGCTAACCTACCTGCTTTACCTCATATATCAGTAATTGAGACGCTAAATGGCATTAGTAATTCATGGTATTTCTATTTTGAGAGTGTAACCGAATCAGAAGTGCTAAAGTAAAGCACTTAAATGGATTACATTATTAAGTATTCCAGCTAGGGTTGGTAAAAGTCCTAATAAGTCCTAATTGGTCTTAAAGAATTTAAAGATAATTTTTAATTTATATAGTATT